CAACCAGATGCAGTTTGAGTTGGGGTAAGGTAGATTAACATAGTCTCTGAAAATGTCATTTTGAGAGAAACAAGCCACAACACTTGAATTGAAAAGGAGCCTGAATTCGATGAGAGTTCTTGAACATGTGGAATATGTATACATGTGTCATTTAGGGCTAAACAGTAAGGGCTGGGTTAAGAGGATGAGGTTAGGTGAAATTGGGTTTAACATCGTTCTTATCAATATTTCGCTCATATGATGACGTTCATGCGTGTGTATGTGTAGCTGCGGCTGCTTGTACTAGCCCAGACTGAAGCTGGTTTTATAGTAATAGCCCACTGAGATACCATGCCGCAGTGAAGCATGAATACCCCACTCAGACACATTATACTGACTCTGAGCCGACCAGTCATTGATGTACCCATTAATGCCGAGCGCCAGGCAGGGACCAAAAAGTGCCATATTTTAACGTCTTTTATATGACGCGGTCTGGGGATCGAACCCAGCGACCTTCCACCCTCCGCGGACGCTCTAACCACTACACCACGGAGGCGGTCGGGTTAAGAGGGAATAATATGGTTCAGGGACTGTGAGACCGACTTGGGGCTAAACTGAATTTATGATTAGCTGTAGAATGTCAACAAAATTTGGAAGGCAGTTATGATGAATTAACCCATCAACCTGACATGGAAAGAATAACCATTGGGCAAGATGCCTTTGTACAACATGGTCTATATCAGTTCTGGTATCATTAGACAAAAAAACTTCTTCCAAGAAAAACATTACACTGGCATCTGCCATGGGGTGATAGAGAGAGGGGTATATACCAGGAAAGCTGTATAAAAACAGGCAAAGAGAATCACTGGTGTGGATGTAGTGTCAGTTTTCCCCGGAAAGTAGGTGTGAGATAGCTCTGATAGGGGAGCATGAATCAATAGACCCACCTGCTTCATCCTGCACCTTGCTTGGGGAGGGGGGTCACAGAGGTGTGGGGGAGGGGACTAGGCAGTGTGGGGAAGGGAAACTAGGTGGTTGAGTCAAGAGGGTGAGGCAAGGTGTGCGGGTTAAGGTACCTCATCGGGTGGGGTGTGGCATGTGCCGGAAGGAAGTATGATGTCAAGCAAAGATAAGGAGGCCATTCAGGTGTTTAGGTGGAATCCCAACCCGTAACATCACCAAGAATACAAGGGACGAGCATTCTAAAACAATAAGTAATTGTCTTGGTCATTGTCAAAGTGATTCAGATAATTAACAAATTAAAGAGTACCAATATTTACCACTGGAGTTATCTTTTGATTGGATAGTTGAAAATGTTCTAATGAACTGAGGGCACTTGTCTCTTCAGAGGGCATATGATGTACTAACTCAGGGCATGTACCTGCCGGACTGAACTGAGGGTACCTGCAGGAATGACCTGAAGGTATCAGAGGGAGCAGAGGGCACCTGCTTGACTGAACTGATGGCTACTGCTAGACTGAACAGAGGGCACCTGCAAGACTGCTGGTACAAAAATGACAGGCAGGCTTCTAGAGAACATTTCATGACTTTACCTCATATATCACCTGAAGACAGCCTCACGGGTCAAATTTGGCTTGAATAAGGGTAATTCACTGCAATGGCACATTCCTTGTGTTGGGAAGGGGGAAGGGGGATGGGAGATGAAACAGGGAGGCCATTTGGAATATCTCTGTCAGTGAGAGCCTGGGCAGGAGGGATAAACTAGCATCATCACTACATCTTGATCTCCTCAGCATGGCTTAACTCCAACATATTCATTAGCACAATTCAAAATAAAAATAAATTATAGGGCACGTCTACACCAAAAGTTACAATGATGGCATTTACCCCATTAAGCTATAAATAAAAAGATACCAAAGGGTTTCCACATGTTTCTCTCACTATCGAAGTGTTCATACCAACACTCAACATCAACAATCTAGGAAACAATTACAGGATCATCTATATTAAACTGACAATGACAGAAGACAATGTTAGTTTGTTAGTTTCTCATTATCCTCATAAACAATCTAAGTTTACTCTGCACATTTTCAGCAGAATTCAGTATGGCAGCATCGGAAAAATCCATTAACATGATGAGTTATCTCCCTTTGACCAGACACCCACAGATGCACACTGCCTATCTCTGATTTCCACACAAATCACAGCAACAGCTATTATGAACATTCAAACAGTGACATTTCCAAGTACTTCCCAGACATTCAGAAATGATGCACGTTGGCCCATGATAAGGTAGCATCATGGAAGATATATTTCGCACATTCACGTAAACATGTACCATAAATGGGGAAGGTTATAGCGTATTTGATACACACAATCTCTCAATCCCCCAGGCCTGTGATGGCTCCAGGGTTTGATGAAGGGAGCCTCTAGGAAAACTGCCTGGTGTTCCCCCCACAAAGAAATATTCTACCTTATCTGTAAACACACTCACTTTGAACTCTTTACAGGCTGATGTGCAGTTACTGTTATCAATTTTGATGTGTGTTAATGAACTTGGAAAGTTGCAGACAAAATGTTGAAGAAACCGGAAATTATATACATGTACTTCCTCTGTATTTACTCTTCAGCACTGAGGATATTTTGAAGAAATATGACAAATAAATGAACCTCGAGATGAAAGCAGTTGTTGTTTTAATGTTCAGAAATAAAGAGGGAGGATGTTTATGTTAGATTTCATTTTGACAGAATAAATTTGCGTCTTTTAACGTCTTCATGTCAATTACTTGCATTGCCCCAAAGAACACTTGAAACGAGCTATTAACATAGGTGTATGATATCGGAAAATAGAAATATTTCTGTATGTTTTATTCTTCAAATACATATATTGTGGAGGAACTTAAAACCCTTGAGAACAATTAACCTCTTCAGTTATATTTATGAAGCTTTTAGCAATATTTCAGCAATATCATGGCAGTGGACACAACAAATGGGCTTCACACAATGTACCCATGTGGGGAATCAAACCTGGTTTCAGTGTGACGAGCAAATGCTTTAACCACTAGGCTACCCCACTGGCCCCTTTTCAACCAATATAAAGTATATATATACACATATGCCCCTTGAAATGACCAATACTACAGCACATTCTCCTGTCGCACCAGTTTGTACCAGCCCAAGCGAATTAACATACTAAAAACTGAATCCAACTCAAGACTGGCATGTTTCAGCTCCAGCGGCTTTGATTAGGGCTCCATTTAAACAAAAGTACCAAATCTGTGTAAGTGTAGTCATAAATTTGAGATATATTGCATTCGACCACTTTTTAAAAGCATGTGTATTCATAGAACATTTCAGTGTTCGAAAAGGCTGTTCCAGTCTCCTCCCCATTCATGAATACTGTCTTATCAGAATGCTTGTTAACACTACATCAAAATCAGCAATGACAGACATTTATGCATTCATCCCCGACAAGAAACGGATATTTCAGGATATTTTAAAAGAAAACCATGATTAAACTTATCAAGCATTTATCATTTTTGATAACTAAAGCCTAAATGCAACATTTCTTACTACAAATTGAATATGACAGCAGTGAGTAATACGGTTTATTTAGTTCTAACAGAATATGCTGACAAACTAAAAAATGTAACTTTTTTCCTCAAATCACAGATTATTTGCTCAGGCATCCCAAATTGGCTCATTCCACATCAATTAATTTATCTTTTAAATCATTTCTACATCAGGTCAAAGGTCAAGACATTTCCTTTTCAAAGAAATTGAAATAGAAGAGCAGTCACAGATCCCCAAAATACAGCTGGTTCCAAGACATGTAATTATATCCTGCCATATTAGACAAATTTGCCAAGAAACATGAGCCAGCATTAAGGATGGACCCACTTGGGTTCTTGCTGCTTAATCACTTCTCCCCCTGTAGTAATCTCCCTTGAGATGGGCGGATTACAAACTCCTCCAGATAAATCTTAGATAAACACATCTCTTTAAGGAATTGCTTCAATTAAACAGTTAATAGGAGCTGGACATCTTACGGTATACATGAATGTAGCTTTGCATCTGGTTTTATGCAAGGGTAATTTATTTGGAGGTGACGACATTCTGTGCTTCTGTTTAATTAATGTGATATTCATCAAATTAAGGATTTTTCTGGCTTCATATTCTCAAAACTGGTTAGTTTCCTTCCATATTTAATAGAAGCTATCACTCCTCATTACACACTATAAAAGGTTCATCATGTGATAAAGGTACCTAATGAGAACAGGTGTGGTATTTCATTTATTACCAATGTTAAATTTAGACATGAAAACAATAAAAAATAAATTCCTTTATCTGAAAAACCCAAAATGGTGAATATACAAATTCATAAGATGCAATAAATAGACATATCTTAACCTCTAATCTCACTGCTTCCTGGGTAAGGAGGAATGTTGCATTAATCTTATTTCATTTTGATAAGCAATTTACATTTAGTTCCGACGGATACATTAAGTTTCTTTCATATACAAGCAAAAAATTCAATTGAAACAAAGTCTGATTAAATTAAATTGTGCAAATTGTTGGTCCTTTTCAAGCATACAGAACGTCATCAAAGATCCATTTATTACATGGGATCAAGCACGTTTCAGCCATGCCATAAGTCCTGTATCACCTCAGATTCTGCTTCCAGAATGAACTAGAACAACCAGTGAATGATAAGTGTCCAAAACATCTAATCCTCTACAAAGATAAAACCAGTATCGGGGTCTCAGCTGAGAGGTAGAGTTCTTCGGTGCTCATCCAAATATTATCCTTTCTGTGACCAACCAATCAGCTGTCAGTCCATTCAAACATGTTGTACTAGAAGGGTAATCAGGACTTGAATACCAAAGTCCGGCACTGGATGTGTACGTTCACGCTCTTACACTCTGCCATCACTTATATATCACTTATCTCGAGCTGCAGATTAAACTAAGAAGATCTGTTGCTATTATTGATGTTCATGTTGTGTGAGGTGGACAGTTGCAGGTGGTGACACACAGGGTATATCAACATGAGTTACCTACCTTTAACATAAAGCATAGCCGCATATGAATATGCCACCCCGACATCATTCTCTGCGACGCATTCATATCTCCCTGCGTCGGATTCCTGACTGTTCTGAATCTGAAGATAGCCTGGAAATGAACAAGCAGACATATACACATTTATACAACCTTTTATTTCAGTCCATTAACCCAGACCATGATCATTTCATAATTTAAATGATTTTTTCATTTTGGGTGAGTGAGTGAGTGAGTTTGGTTTTATGCCGCACTCAGCAATATTCCAGCTATATGGCGGTGGTCTGTAAATAATCGAGTTTGGACCAGACAATCCAGTGATCAACAGCATGAGCATCGATCTGCGCAATTGGGAACCGATGACATGTCAACCAAGTCAGCGAGCCTGACCACGCGATCCCATTAGTCGCCTCTTACGACAAGCATTGGTTACTGAAGATCAATATTCTAACCCGGACCTTCACAGGTCCATTTTTGTGAACAGGTATTGACATTTGTGTGGCTAAAGAAAATAAATGTTCCAACACAGAACCAGAATGACTTAAAGGCATACTGTGACTAAATGAGATTTATTTAAAGCTGCCATCATGGCAAATCAGTCCTATCATGGCATCTTAGCTAAATGTGGGAGGAGTGAGTGAGTGCATGAATGAGTTTAGTTAAACGCCGCTTTTAGCAATATTCCACAATATCATGATGGGGACACCAGAAATGGGCTTCACACTTTGTACCCATGTGGGGAATCGAACCCGGCGAGACAAGCGAACACTTTAACCACTAGGCTACACCACCACCCATAATGTGGAGGAATGGGCAGAGCATATCCTGGCATGGTCAAGGGACTCAACTCTGCACAGTGAATTGTAGAGCTACAGTGAATACAAATACATGATCCCTCAGAAATTAAGAAATTTATTAAACAAATTATTTAACCAGTTGCTGTTTGAATAACTCATATCATAAATGCCATGAAGGTACTCCCTTGGAGATTAATAGCTTGCTATTTCTGGTTGCTGAATATTCCCCAATGATGTGATTATGATTATCTTCTCCAATCTTTTGTCAGTCAGTTGTAATGAACACACAGATCAAGCTATTTACTGACTTTGAATGAAAGAAACTAGCCTTATCTACACGCATTACATCATAAAAGAGTAACCTCCCCTTGAACACCTGTCATTAACTTTCCTCTCAATTAGAATCCAGCTCTTTAAAATGTTTTTCTTACAAATCAAGATCCTGATAACATTCAGCAAGAAACATCACTTGGCAAGTTTTAAAAATTCTTTAATGCGCAGTAACCAACACGTTCGGGAAGATTTCTTGAGCATCTGGAAACAACATCAGCAATGGGACTGAAGAGCAATAAACATGTTCTCGTAAGGATGTTATAGCTCGGATTATGACGTTTGTGTTGCCACTTGGCAAAAACTGGCGGCTTTCTCCCATGATTTACAGAAACCATGTTTACACTGTACAGGCTTATCATGCATGGGTCCATCGTAAAGATATAACGCGGCTTTTTCAGTGTATAACAACAGTCAGGCTGTGGGTAGGCACAGATCTCACTACCAACTTGTTCCTCAACATGCTCACATAGCATTCGGTGGTCTTTCAGCTTTGTCTTCTTCTTCTCAATGAAATTTTATTAGCAATGTAAATATTTATCCTTCTGAGAAAAGATCATTCTTCTTTTTTTTTTGCTGTTTGGGTTACCATATCTCATAGGTGGCTGTATTTTTTCAAAAACAAGGCAGCTTGATCTTTTTTCACCACGAATGTTGAAATGATGATGGAACATTTTTTGCCTTTTTTTATAAAAGGAAATTCTATGCCTTCATAACGTTTCACAGGAGACTTCATCGGGACAAAGGATCATTGCTGAATCAGGAAAACTAGTTCAAAACAATCACACAATCTTAAGCTGTTGGATTGGTTAGAGTTTTGTTTAGTGTGCATGCAGCTCTAAGTAATATTACAGCAATTTTCAACAATACAATACCGGAAAAATCCACGGCACCTTCCCAAACCACTGATCTAAAGAACTTCAGAAGAACAGTACAAGGACTGGGTCTGGGAAGGTTACAAACAATGACGACAGTTTGAGGTAGATAAACCATAAACTTTTTAAAACTTTTAACTGTTTTTAAGGCTTCACATACATAAGTACTGTTAATATTCTACAATTAATCTTGAAAGATTGTCAGTGAAACCAAGTATAAGTTCCTTTACATATCTTTCCCACTAGTTTGGTTTGCCATGGTGGTCTACAGGTTTAAGGTGGAGCAACACACAGTACAGAGTTATGTCCCCTGCCTATCAGGATCCTCTGATCCTTCCATTAGATACACATTCATCCCATACAGATCATGTCTGCTCACGACTCATTTACAGCAAAGTGAAACTCATACTTCTAGACTCACTGAGTTTGGTTTTACGCCGCTTTTAGCAATATTCCAGCAACATCACGGCGGGGGACACCAGAAATGGGCTTCACACATTGTGCCCATGTGGGGAATCGAACCCGGGTCTTCGGCATGACGAGCCAACGCTTTGACCACTAAGCTACCCCACCGCCCCCATACTTCTAGAAACTCTGCTTGTTTCACTACTCTCATCACCATGGCTTTCTGGATATTTCTCAATAACAGTGATCATTCAGCCTTCTTTATTTCATAAATAGTGGGGCAGTGGGGTAGCCTAGTGGTTAAAGCATATGCTCGTCACGTCGAACACCGGGTTCGATTCCCCACATGGGTACAATGTGTGAAGCCCATTTCTGGTGTCCCCCGCCGTGATATTATGGAATATTGATAAAAGCAGGGTAAACCCAACTCACTCACTCATAAATAGTGACCAGATAAATAACTGTTGTTTGTGTCCAGAGGCCAAAATAATCTTTCAGACTCATACCATGTCCACTGTTATACATTTCAAAAGGTGAAGTATCTACTCACAAACTAAAATTTGTTATATAATGTTTGTAGTTCTTACCTGAGTCTAAGAGGGTGATTCTTGGATCTGTCATATCAACAGGAACATGGTCTTTCAGCCACAAGATTGCTGGTTCTGGGGTCCCCGCAGACTCACACTGCATTATGGCATTGTGACCCTTCTCTACTGATTTCAAACTAGGGTTTACTGCTATCCGGGGATAACCTCCTGGAAAGTCTGCAAAACAGAGACGTATTACATATGCATTTCTGTCTCGGAAGAACATTCAATTTACAGTCCTGACTTTCGTTCTTTTTGGGTATACAGATCTAGATGGTGAAAAATTTGGTCAGAACAGTGAAAAACAATAACAAGCAAAAAATAATAGGCATTGTGCAGGAATTTTGAAACTGTCATTAAGATTGATTTGGAGCAATATGAAGAAAACATAATGACCTAAATCACAATACTCAGTAAATAGCGTTGAAAAATATAAGACTCATCCATATATATACCAGGGTGCCGATCTACAAAACAACCTTAGAGCTAAGGTGATCGTAACTCCCATACCTCAATATAGACTTACAACGGTCTTAGCGATAAGGTTGCTTTGTACAACAGCACCCTTGGATGATTATTTTTAATCAAAGAAATCTTCAACTTTGGTGGTAAAAATCTGTGGATCTGTAAACCCATTAAGAACAAATGCATGGCCTGATTGGTACATATGTATAACACATAGGAATATATAGACATTATGTGGAGGACACATGGTCCAGCACTGACAGGGAACAAATGTTTACATATTTCATCACCTGATGAAATTACACTGTCATCAACAAGATGACAAATTAGACATGACACAGATTTATCAGACATTTACACAAATCTTCTTAAAACAAACAGTTAGTTTGCCTTGTTTTTGGAATGGCTATCAAAGGGAAGCAACTCTCTACAGACTTGGGTTAGCTCCCTTTGATTGTTGACAGCGGGGAGCGACGGTTAGTTGCAACACAAAATGCTTACATTCACAGATGCAGTGTTAGCTTTGGTGCAGAGTACATAGGGGCAATGCCATGTGTGTGTGGTTCACATTTAAACAAATAACTAACTACACATCACAATAACACAACAATTATTCACAATTTCACAGCAGATAAATTGGCATTTAGAAGTTGGTGTGATGAACAATGAGGAGAGCTCTATGGATATACAACTTCTTTAATATAATATGAGCGATGATGATTTGCTTGATAACGGTGTTAGTAGCTACACCAAAATGTCGCTCATATTATATTAAAGAAGTTGTACATCCATAGAACTCTCCTCGTTAATTTCACAGCAGTTTATGGGTTTCAAACAAACATGTTCAAAATTGGAAAATTTCAAAACATGAATTAAAAAGATGCGACATTTCAACTTGTAAGTTATCAAAATGAACGAAACGTGGATTTCCTTGATAACACACCCACATTGCATGCAAATTTTGTTAGTATTTGGAGAATGTACACTGGTTGACTACGAAGACTATTGATTTTCACTAACAGAAATATAATTTTTCAATTTGGACATAACTTTTTACTAGTTCTCACTTGCTTAATAATTCTTGACATAACGATTAACACACAACCAAGGAAGGGCAAATACCCATGTTAACAAGAGGGTTACAACACGAAAGGTGTGAAACACAGCCCTGCAAGAAAAACCTGAATCTTTTTGGTTTCACAGAAAGTATGAAATCTGACAGAATGGTGACATACAAAGAACATGAAAACACATAACACATATTTATATAATACAGAGGTTTCTTGTAACTCTTTCCTCGCCTTGTTGTTTCCGAACAATGGCATTAACACATGGCAGCCACTAGTTTAAAGCCTGAGTCAAGTAAAATTCTTTCAGGTGAGCTCCATTTTGGTAAAATTCTGTAAAGTAAGCCTTGTAAAATGTCTAGCAATCCTGAGTCAAATAAAATTCTGTTTTGTGAAGTAAGCCCATGTCAAGTAAACTTCTGCAAAATGCCAAGTCAGCTTGGCTAATAACTGATATAAAATGACTTTGAGCCAAACAGTCCTTTTTTAATACCCATAATGCAAAGTGGCAGGGTGACCAGAAGTATTCCCTTTTAACATGAGATAGGGCCATGTGCCAGGCAATCAAATCTCTGACCTGCCTTTTCTGGGCAGACACTCTATCTGCTACACCTAAAGATTTACCTTGGTACTGTAAGTTGCAGGGTAGTGTTAGCTAGTCTCAAGGGAGTGAGTGAATGAATTTAGTTTTACGCCGCTGTTAGCAATATTCCAGCAATATCACGACAGGGGACACCAGAAATGGGCCTCACACATTGTACCCATGTGGGGAAGAAAAGCTGGGTCTTCAGCGTGACGAGCAAATGCTTTAACCACTAGGCTACCCCCTAGCCTCATGGGAAAAGCTTTTGCTTGTCATCCCAAAGGCCTTGTTCAAGTTCCTACAGGAGTACATTGTGTGAAGCCTGATTCTGGTGCACCATGGTGTGTTATTACTGAAATATTTCCAAACGTATTGTAAATCCATATCACTAACATAAGTGAACCCTAATTTTGTCTGGCTGCATTTTCAAATTTTGATTCAAAATTTTATTAATTAAAAATTCGGCTATTTATGTTTGAGAAACCTCTGTATTGTCCTACCGGAGCTAAAGGGATCCCACCTTCAACACCAAGTGATACGGAGCATAAATGGCCAAAGCAGAAAAAATAACATTGTGGCATGGGAGATAACTCTTACAATAGGAAAGTGGTTTCACAAGACACATAGTTTGCAAGTTAAATACATGTACATGTTTTTTACCTTCATATTTAACTACCCAAGGATTAGCACCTGTTGGTTAAATGGAAAAACACATTAAATACTCATAAAATAACTTTGATTCTTTTATTGTCTTTCTTTTCTGACCTTGTAAACTTTGTTTTACTTAGGATCGAAAATATTTTCAAAATATAACTGACATTGGCCACACCAAGGTTCGGTATTAAACAGATGTCAACATGAAAAGTGTGAGCAGTATTTTCTGATTTGTGTTTTCTTTTTATGAAAATGCAGAGATGTTTGTGTCTAAATATCTTTTCCTGACTTGACGCTAAAATGTATTGAACAGATTTGGGAATTGAAAGTGACATATATTTCAATAGTGTCTCTATCAGTATTCACTGTCATAAATCAACTATTTTATCATAGTCAATGTTGTAAGGTTCGTTTACTACTTACAGTGTTAACTAGCTGTTGAAAATCTTCAAGTATTAAGTTATATAAAAACTTAAGCTCGAACCTTTTACAAGTCACAAGCAATTTCATTTTCTACTCTGTAAGTATTACAACTGAAACTTGATTTAGTATCAGGTAATGTCATTATCATTTGAAAACTGGAATTTTGCTCTAAATATGATAGTCTTAGCATTTTTCTAAAAAAGAAGAATTAAAAGTGAAACATACAGATTCATTACTCGTGTACCTTTGCACATAAAACATGTCTGTAACTTCAAGACATGAAATATGAAAACCTACTTCTTTTGGGATGTCAAAATTACTTATCAAAATGTTAGAATTTTTCTGCCTCAAACAAATATAAGCCTTAACATGTAAATGTTGTACATCATCGAGATACAAGATCAGTAAGATTATTATTAAGACCATTTGAAGCGTCACTAAAATGCCAGTGCACAGTTATCTCCCCTTGACTGTGAGACGTACTCTGGTTTGCAGTTCATTCGATTGATCTTAGCTACATGAATAGCAGGTACAGCGCATAGCAGTTACACACGAGGAAGGTGTTAACACACACCTTCATTTTGGACAAAACACATCTGTCAACACGACAGAATTTGTAAACAAACACAGATGTTATGAAACAGGACATTTTCTGTCAGAATACCACATTATGCAGAAACATTGTTGTACATGTTAGAGACAGACACCGATTACAACAATCAGGTTCAACAAGATTTTATTAATCATACATAACTAATAATGTGATTTATTGTTAAAATTATTATGAAGTTATTCATGATCCTAAGTTAATACAAATGTATTCCATTGTGATCAATGATATTGTCACAAAATGATTACTATGTGAAATGGAATATAGATTCTTCCTCACACCATTCTATGATGACTAAAACATGTCAGCCATTCTAATTTTTTTAATTATGATATTTTCTTCTCACATATATGAAACATTTCTATGAGAAGAGTAATATCATCATGCATGATAATTGTCACATCAGCAAGATTGTGGCACTAACAACGGGTGTACCTACATTGTCCAGCTTCCCACAGATCTCAACCAGTCACACCCAAGATAACATTCCCCCTAGATGGGATGACACACACTGATAACTGTAGGTTCTCTCAACCCAGATATTATTTCATGTAATTCAGGAATAAATGAATAGATATAGACTTAAAACAATCTAAATGTATTAGCAAACACAGGACTTATATCCACCTGAAAACTCTCAGCACAAATTGCTTAACGGATTGATCACTTACACATTGATTTTACTGTATGACACACAGACAGATGCTTACACATTGTAACTACTAGATCCACATGTAAGTTTGGCTTCACGACCAATGCTGAATTAAATCACAAAAACAATAAGCTTGCTGAACATTTCACAAATCTTCCATTATAGAAGAACTGAGATAAATTCCACAAATTCAACTTAGTCTGGGTGAGTGCAAGTGTACTTATCTCACTCACTCACCTTAACAGACAACTGGACAATCACAGATAAGAAAGTAAACAATGGTGTAACAATAACCTTCTCACTTCTAATATTTAGTTGTCCTGTAGAAACAGATTGGTCAAACAGTGATAACAGACAGATCAATTCACAAATATTGTTCATGCACCTCTATAACTCTCAAGGATCATCTGCAAAGAAATCTGTCCTGTTCATAAACCACAGCAATATCAGTTCTTTTGCCCAAGTCCACCAGGGTTGCCCTAGCTTAAGCCATCCTTAAAGCTATTTTAGTCTCTTATGCATAAGTTTCAATCAAACTGACACTGAATTCAAATCCCTACACTTTCTGGAACTAAAGAACCTTTATGGTAAAGCTTCCCTTCAAGACACAAACAGTCACAAGCTGAGAGACAAGTGAGAATCAAATATGCCTCAACAAAAACCTCCACTATTTATTGCAAGGCCAATATTAAGCATGTCTACAAAACTGTCTGATAGAAGTCT